TATTAATCTATCACAAACAATAACACATTTATTTCCTTTTCATTGCTTAAAAGTATGGGGCAGACTAATCTATATATAGTATAATCACAGAATCACAAAGTCATTTAAAATGCCTTGTGAGTAAAATAATTTGTCTTGCAAATGTACAAAATGACTTTTTCCATCAAATACCAAGGTCAGATATTTACCTCATTTCTAATCAAAGACAATATCTTTATGTGTGATTTCCATTCTTCAAATAAAAATCGTAACATTTAAGAGGGCTTCAATTTAAAATAAAATAAAATTTTGTGTGCAAACTCGAAACAAAGAAGAGAAAATCATTTACTGACACCAACACAATTCCATTATCAGTTAATTATGACGGACTCACCCGTGTGTACTGGTGACACAGAATTTGGTTGGCCGTGTGTCGGAGAAGGTGGCGGAGTTGCTGTTACACCGTGTTTCTGATTTTGCAAAACATTTTCTAACAGACCTAGTGGTGAAACATGACAAGATAAAAATACAACATAGAATTCACAATTTGATTATACTGAACATACTACATTAATATACCAGTGTTTTGACGCACTGCAGTGGTATTTATTCACAGATATGTCTACCGTTTTGATGTAATCTCTGCTATATTATAAAACCTGACCTGAAACAAAAGTTTCACAATATAATGACTCAAAAGTTTTGCTAATCACCTAAACAGAGCTTGGAAATACAGATGTGTTGTAAAGGAAATCTCTTACAGCAACATAAGATTTCGGGTTGTCACAATGGTAAAAATGTGGTCGTCTGGATTATGCCAGCACGTAGATGGCGTCAAAACACAGAAGACCACAGTCCAGGCTTACAGCATCCACCTCCAAATGTGCTTTCACCACAATTTTCTAAATTTTGATAAAAAGATATAGCCAAAAATAAATGCTACTATGTTGCAATATCAAAAAACATGTCAATACCTGTAAGAATACTGAAAACTTGAGGGATGTGTGCTAGGAGCAAGCGACGTAGTTCCTCCTTTCGTGACACGCTCAAATCTTCCCAAGGACAAACCAGTTCTTCTGAAGCAGTTTGTAGGAATACCAGACCCAATACAGTTGTATCTGGAGCCTGAATTAACTGTCAATACATTAATGTATGAGTACACAAGTGATGTGTTTGGACTAACAGGTTCCAGTGCAGATGAAGTCCTGCTAAGTTACCAGGTTCAAAAAGGTAATACACAGTTTAAATAACAACTGTGCTACTACCAAGATGACAAGCAAGAACAGTGTTGTCCAACATGGACGAAACAACACTGCAAGTCAAACTGTTATTAGTATAGCATTTTGCTGAGGCATTCATATCAGTCAGCAATACGCACGTCTTTCTAAAATATTCCATTATTTCTGTCGCAAACAGGTCCATATTTCTGGACCTTGTTCATATTCTGTACCCTTCCACTGTTTCTCAGTCAACTGCTCACGCTAGCTAGGCACTGTACTTTCGAAGCATGTGTCGAAATGCTGCTTCCATACTTACAGTTTAATATAAATTGATTACAGAATTCCAAATCTCATGAAAATCCATTAAGCATTTCTCCAGCTGTTACATGCACAAATGGAGCCTTTCCAGAAAAGAAAATGTCTAAAATTATGTTCTCTACTAACAGAAAAAATATACAAACTAATTTTCATGGAATAAAACACACTGTCACAAATAATGATTTAAAAACTACGAGCGTTATGAACGTGAACCGATTCAACAAAGAAAATATAAAACACTGCGTAATGATACTGACATACACACACGCATATGCCTGCAAACGTAAATATCAACCAATGAAATACATTTTTGGTCTTGCGTGTCTTCCTTTTACCTGTAAAATATTGTAGAAGAAGTCTGGGTAAAAATGTGGCCAATCTAATCTTGCAATATCTACCACTAATTTCACCAATTTGTTTCTGATAAAGTTAGGGGCTGACTGATGATGCTCCAATGAAAACTGGTACAATGTGGCCTTAAGTTGTGCTCGCTCCTCCCACATCAGACCCAACCACTGCTTTGTTATCAACGTCTGAAGATACAAACAAAAACAAGAATCCTCAATTTAAGTTGCAGGACTCATCTAACCAACTCAAAATGTGTATTCTGTTTTAATAAAGAACTTGTATAAAAATTACATTGAATCACTATAAATAAAACCAATATATCACTTATAAGACTTAAATAAAATCTTTGAAAATATGTCTAACATTACAATAATAAATTAAGAAACACCTTGAAGTACATATATCAAACGAACACATACACAGAAACTGTGATCACAAATGTGATGCAGACTTAAGCCTGAATACCAATATTTTTTTCTTCAATTTTTCACCATTTACTAATGTTTCTACAAAATAAAATGAATTATGTATCAAAAATAAATAAAAATCATTAGGATTCTTACCTCTATAGTTGTCAGGCTATACATGCACACATACTGATTTGTAGAGTGTGACATGAAATACAAGCAGTGTTTCCACGCGCCTCCCTGGCTACTGAAGTTGTGTAAAACACCTTCAATTTCTCTCTTCCTTTCATTGCTTGTGCCAGGAGCAAAGAATTCATTCATCAAAGCCTCTAAGACTGCCAATGATTCCACATCACTTGCCTAGCAATATGACATTATAACAGAAACAAATTACTGCAACCATTTCTAAAAGAGTTACTTTTATACAAGCATGTACCTGTCTGACAATTATCCCCACTATTCTTCTAACTTATCTACTATTACCATTTGAAAGAATACTATGTTACTACTTTGAATATGATACGCAAAATAATACCCAGTCATTTATCATTTATATTTCTAAGTCACTGCAGGAGAAAAGTTGTATTTATGAAGATACAAACAACAATAAAGTTCCTAAAATCTGTTTTAAAAATCATGTGAATGAAAGAAAAACTCATAGATTAAAATCCAAAAATCAATTATTGCCTGCATGATACACAACTTCAACTGGAGTACAGTGTGATGCTACATAATCATAAGAAGCTGATACCAGCTAACACAAAAGAGTTAAACTTGATTCACAAAGCATAGTTTCTAACTTCCAGCATAGCCCAAACTGAAAAAAAATTCCTTGCAAAACGAAAACAAATTTAACAAAAACCAGTTAATAATGGCATATTTACAAATCATTACACAACCAAATTTCGGTTTATTAACAATTCTGCATAACATATGAGTAACTTAGGTTACATTATTCCTTCAATTAAAATAATACGAATTCATAACTTCTATTGTACCATTGGTGGAACAAAAGGTAACAAAACATAACTTGGTTACACCAATGCTATGATAAGCTGTGCGTGCAAAGTTATCCACAAATGACATTACTAACTGAACACCATGCATCTTATCAAACCAATACCACACTTCTGTACATGTTTAAGTTGTAACTTTTTACATACCATAGTAACTAAAACGCAAATTTACGTCCACATGAATATAAAATTGTCTTTCACATATTCAATTTGCAGGCTGATTTTAAAATACAGTAAACACATTTACTTCCTAAATTCCCACTCGAGATGCTAACCTTCACCATTTTGCTTTTGAATTGCACAGGTTACCAAGCATAGGAAACATGCTGGTGTGTAGGTATAACCTGCGGATAACATTCGGTATAGGTTATCTATGTACACGATCACAGATTAATACCTCACAATTAACAACATGAGTCATGACACTTTTTTTGCAATCTTGCCCTTGCGTGCATGAGTTACATGATTACTTCTGGTGATTTTCCTTTCGGAAGAAAATTGATCGTGAAAAACTGTAAAACTCAATGGGGCAGGATCCGATCCAGTTCTTTAAGTAAAAGTTTCATTAAAGTCTGGAACCACTAATTAATTGTTAAGAAACGAAAAAGTGTGCACAATGGCTTCAATATGTTTATCACACCATAAATTGAATTCAATGGTGAAAGCTCCATTGCCAACATCCTGTTTGAACTATTGCTAGCAGGTGATCTGTGGCAGCAATGATACAGGTGTCATTTCACGCTTGTAAACATCATGGAAGCGAGAATAACATATCAGAAAGCGACATAGTTAGTGTCAAAATGTCAAGTGCATAAATATACCGCAGTAGGAATAACGTGTGTAATAATATACCTTGACTAAATCACCTGTAATAGCAATTAATGCACATTATCCAAGAAATGGCAAACAGGTAAATACGTAGTTATATGAAATTCTGATTTCGGTTTCCACTGTTTTCTTCAGTCCCTCCACACAAATGCGGTTGTTGTACTTGAATGAGCCATAACTGCTTCCTTCCTTGAAAATGCATCACTGAATAAGCTAAAGTAATTGGGCCTACTTACTAACTGCAACCAACACCATGGAGTAGCTCAACTAGTCAAGAAGTTAATTACTATGACCATAAGAACCTGTAATTCAGTTGTATTAGGAATAAGTACTGTGTTTGTGCCATGACATGTTCTACATATTATATTTTACTGTGTATTTTGTCCTTAAATTATGTATTTACATACTTAGATACCCACTGCAGCAACCAGAGATGCATTCTCGGATTGATTTAAGTCTTGGAAACAATACACCTTCAATGTATCCAGGACCAAGAGCTGGGATGTGGACACATCTTCCACCCCATCAGCAGTTGGCAGAAGAGCAGAGTGAGAAGCAGCGTGAATATCTGAAACAGCAGCAGAAACTCAGGCTCATGACTGCAGCTTCCACCCCTGTAGGTATCTTATTTATGTACTCAGCATTCATTTCTCTGGAGGATTGTTGTTTTGCCCATCAGATGCCACATCCTTACATGAAGTAATACTTAATGTTTTATTATTATTTATTTTGTTCAACTTTCATTAATGATAGTCTACATTTTATTTGTGAGCATATTGCAGATTACCATGCGACACTTTAATTTCTTCCCTTGCTACCACAACATTTCTGTAGCGACTTCTATGCTTCAATAATACGGTTATGTTTTACAGCAGGCTGTAAGTGCTGATGTATTAATTGAGAATCTTCTTGGGAAGAAAGAAACTTTCAAACCCAAAAAGAGTCATCATGGATTAGCAGTGCCTGGTACTGTACCTATCAATCAGGTAATAATTCTTTAATCTTTTTAGTGTCATTTTATTGATAAACATGATTGTACGTAAACCTCTCTCCTCTAAAAGAGAAGACGCTAAAAATATTTGTTCTGTAATTGTCTGCAACTTTTATTTTACCTTCCATTCAAGAGGTACATAATTTGAATTTGGTTTTGGACAAAATTTACTAAACGACGCCGTTTCTTCTGTGCCCGTAGACCAGTGTCAGAATAATAACTTTTAAGCAGGTTATGTCATTTTCATACCTCATTTATCCTTATTCAGTGCTGAATAACTACAGCAGATGGTACAGGGGCATTAAATAAATAAATGGAGTGGTATGATTACATGACGTGATGGACTTTCTCTCTTTTACAGCATTTGTTGGGTAATGTTGGTATCCCAGTGCAAGCCACTGGCCTGGCGCCTTCACATATTGTCGCAGCAGGTGTGCCAGGACCTTCAGCTTCAGGCACAATGGGAAGCTATGGTACTTCTGTAGCACCACCTGAAACTAAAGGATCCTTCTCTCATGTGCCCACGACTTCAGCTAATAAGGGCTACGTTACCGTGTCTCGAATGAATCCGCAGATGGACTTTAATGTACCGTCCCAGGCACCGTTTTCATTCAACTTACCCACGTGGTTGATGCCTTCCTCAGAGCGTCTTCCTCAGTTTTATAGACAAGTGTGGAAACTGGTGGAACAAGAGACGGGACTCGTTGATACAACACGTATCTTTCCGCTCCTTCTCACTAGTGGGTTGCCCACAGATGTACTTGGTTTCATATGGGGATTAGCGAATCATAAAGTCGCGGGTTGGCTGACCGAGCAAGAATTATACATTGTGTTGGCCCTTGTCGCTCTCGCGCAGGTTAGTGGGTCGTTTTCAAAGTAACAAAATCACATCAAAATAAATAATTATACTGAATTCGTATGAACACATGTATAATGTTTTGTAGTGGATGAAGAATTCTGAATATCGTAAGAGAGAAAATGCAATGTGTGTGAAATTCACTCATTAATTCACTTATTAATTAATATGAGCTGGGGGTGGCTGAGTCAGTATAGTGTCTGACTACAAACTGGAAGACTGGGGTTTGATCCATGGAAAGGGCAAAGTATTTTTGTTTTGTGCTCTGCAGGCCACTTCTGGGATCCACCCAGCCTCATATCCAGTAGGAACTGGGGCGAAAGCATGGTCAGGGCACTTACTCCTATCTAGTGCCAAGGTCAAGAATGAGAAGGAGCTGTGACACGTAGCAGGACGGATTTACTTTACTAATTTGTATTATGTCTATTTATGTTACAGAGTGGATGCACATTTAATAATCTCAGTGTTTTGAATTTCATACCACAACCACCAATTCCAAATCTGAAAATTGCTGGTTTTGAATCGGCGGCATCTATACCCGGCAAAGATATCGAGGTCGTCACCGCTTCTAATGTGGAGAAATTGAAGAGGGAAGACCTGAACTTGCGTCTGGCTCCTTCCAGTGCATCATCCACAGCTAATCCATCTTATGGAGGTGATGATGTGGGATTTGACGAATTTACAGATTTTCAGAGTGCGATACCAACGACAGCAGAAGAAACTTCTTCAGCAAGTATTAAGGAACAAACTTCAACAGACAAACCACCTGAGATACAAAGCGGTACTGCTACCGCGTTACCTTCGGATGTGGGTACGACTCAGAAGTGCCCCAGTGTAATGGTTGTAAGCAGTAGTGGTCATGGGCGTGGAATTGGAAGTAGACTCGCCAATCACTCATTAGGCACTCCGAAACAAAAGAAAACTAAACATCACCACCACCATCACCATCACCGTACACAATCACAAGTGATAGCTACGTTAGATGAAGATTTTTCAGAATTTCAACAGGCCAAAGATCCAGTTCCGTCTACAGGTAGCGCTGGAGACGGAACTGCAAATCAGGTTTTTCCTAAATGCATGGCAAAAACACCACAAGGGAAAACCTACTTGTTAAAAGAAAGTGCTATTCGGGCAGATATGAAGTTAGAAGGGAATCGGCAGACGTTAGGAAATATAAGGGATGGCGGTCTGACATCTCTAGAAGGAATTGAATCTGATTTTGATCAGAGAAAAAATTCATGTTTAATGTCAGAAAAATCAAAGCCTGAAGGAAGCAGACAAGATCAGAATATCGCATTGGTAGGACAGCAAATGGAATCGGAACTCAAAAGTAAAACTTCAGTATCGTGTCCAATCGAATCTAAAATCCACGGAGTAAATCTGATGTCCGTAGAAGAAGACAAATACAGTGCGCTTAGAAATCTATCAGTAGCTGGCGAGGACAACAGTCCCGAGAAGCCGCAGTCATTTATAAGTGCGGACCACCAGTCACCTGCTAGTGATGATTTTGGTGATTTCCTTTCTGCAGAACCAGCAGGAGGAGTTGATGATTCATTTGTTGACATAGCTACAAGAGAACAGTCTTCAAGTAAGTCCCTTGCAGATCTCGGTAGTATAAATATATGGAAGACTGTGGATTCTCCTCAGACTGCGGAGTTTCAAGTCGATGACTGGGGAGAATATAAAGGCGCTCCAGTGTGTGATGTTGGTTCAGATTTGAACCAGACCTTAGATATGACTGGAGAAAATGAAGTGGGTAATACAACGAACAAAATTAAAATGGGGACGGACATTTCAGCCATGTTGATGGATCTCTATCTGGGTAATGACAATAATGTGTGGGATCCAAAGGACGCTGACACTGTTGTAGCAAGTAATGACAAGGAAAAGGCTTCGGACCTCTTAAGTCTGGTAGAACCATCTTCGGATACAAATAGTGGCCGTTCTTGGGATTTGAAAAAAAAGGATGATAATAACAGTCAAGGTGATACATCTTTGAACACTTCTGAGACGGCAGGACAAAGCAGTACTTTTCAGGGATTTCTGGGCAAAATATATGATGATGATGATGATGATGATGATGTCAAAAGTAAGTGTTATTCTAGAAATGTGGATATACTTTGCTCGAGTCCTGATGATCAATTACGTGGTGGCAGAAGCGACAATTTTAACGTTGATATACGGACCCACGATGGTGATGATGACTTTGGTGAATTTGTTGGACCAGATACATGGTCAGAAGAGCAAAAGGGTAATGATATGACCAAAGATATATTGTTTGATGGTCATTTAGGACAAGGGCTGAAAGATGGGCTTTACGGTGACAGCCAATCAGTGAGCAGCCTAGAGTTGCCACCACTGGCACTCAGTCGCCATGGTTCCGTACCGAGTCTCGATCTGAAAATATTCCCCAGCACTACCGACAAGAATGATGGGAATGATGATAACCACTCTTGGGATATATCGCCACAGGTACGTATGTTAATCACTAAAGACGTAATAGTTGATATTTTAGGACTGGAGCCAACATTGTCCTTACTTATTAGAATTTCAGGTTCTTACAGCAGCAAGTGTGAAAATGGTTGTCTTCTGGGTTATAATGTCATGTAGTCATTAGGGGATCCACAGTGGCCGCACGGTCTGAGGCGTGGGCCTTGTGCCGCTTGGTCGCTGGGACCGTGGGTTCGAATCCCACTCAAGCCATGGATGTTTGTCCGCGTTTTTCTGTGTCGTGCTGTCCTGTGTACAGGTAGAGGCCTTGTGACGGGCCAATCCCTCGTCCAAGGAGTCCTACTGAATGTCTATAGATTGAGCCAATGAAAAGTTGGGACCCGCAGTGCTCAGGCACTTGAAGAACGGGTCGTTCCCAGTATCCCAGTAGACATTAGAATGATGATGGAGGCATTAAGTACCTCTGAAACGTCAGTAAACTTCTGCCACACTACACAGCACTACAACCCAGAACAAAACTATCTCCAACATGGCTGTTGAATATTTTTTGTGCTTCTGAGCATCTCTGTGGAAAATTCCAGACCTATATTACAATTAATATAGGGCCCCTTTGCCAACCATCATCTTCATCTGTCTTACTGTCATCCTCAGAAAAATGAAATCTGCTTGTTTGGTGCCCCATGTTAGAAAGGTAAAGCTGTCCCACTATACGCCATGTAGGCGCTTGGGGGGAGAGGAGGCATAGCTCCTACTCATTCTTGACCTCGGCACTAGATGGGGATGAGTGGTCAGCATCACGCCCCGGCCGCGCTTTACCCCCGGGAAAGGACCCCGGTACACAGTGGATAGGAGGCTGGGTGGGCCCCAGAGATAGAGGAAAAATCCTCTGCCCCCGTCGGGGATCGAACCCCGGTCGCCCAGTCCATAGCCAGTCACTATACTGACTGAGCTACGCTGGCTTTGCCCCATGTTAGTCTAAAGTAAATTTAATTCTGCAAAGTTCTGGAAGATTGTGGTAGTATTATGACCCATAAAACTTTCTAATATCAAAATGGATGACGTTTTATGATACCTGGAAAGTAATATTTACTGCTCTAAAGATATGAGAAATGCATTTGAAATTGTAGTCAGCCTCAAGGGAAGAGACAATTTGAGAGACCTAGGTGTAGATGTGAGAATGATATTAAAATGTATCTTAAAGAAAGAAAGTTTGAGAATGTGGGATGGATTCAGCCAGTTCAGGATGGGACCCCAATGATGCGCTTCTGCAAACATGGTAATGGCGGAGAATTTCTTGACTAGTTGAGAAACTATCAGTTTCTAAAGAAGGGATTCTGCTCTGTGTAGTTAGCTGATTTATATGATGTTGACTGAACAGCTGTGTTACATTTCAGGGTATTGATCACCAGTTGAGTGAGTGGCGACGATGCCTCGAAGCCTGTCTGAGCCTACTTCGGTCAGCTGTTGAAATTTTTAACGGCGTATTATCTGGTGAGGTGTTACATGAAATTGTGTGCTCTACAGAGGGAAAAGATTACCTGCACAGTAAGAAGACAAATTTCTTTATTAAATATTAATATTTCAAATTTGTACTTAATTACCATATTTCATCAATTTTAAGACACTTCTTTTTTAACATTTTTAAATTTCTGAAATCAGGGTGCTGGCGTCAAAGAATTGATGTAGCGTCTTCTTTTTTTTTCTGGGACCGTGGGTTCGAATCCCACTCAAGCCATGGATGTTTGTCCGCGTTTTTCTGTGTCGTGCTGTCCTGTGTACAGGTAGAGGCCTTGTGACGGGCCAATCCCTCGTCCAAGGAGTCCTACTGAATGTCTATAGATTGAGCCAATGAAAAGTTGGGACCCGCAGTGCTCAGGCACTTGAAGAACGGGTCGTTCCCAGTATCCCAGTAGACATTAGAATGATGATGGAGGCATTAAGTACCTCTGAAACGTCAGTAAACTTCTGCCACACTACACAGCACTACAACCCAGAACAAAACTATCTCCAACATGGCTGTTGAATATTTTTTGTGCTTCTGAGCATCTCTGTGGAAAATTCCAGACCTATATTACAATTAATATAGGGCCCCTTTGCCAACCATCATCTTCATCTGTCTTACTGTCATCCTCAGAAAAATGAAATCTGCTTGTTTGGTGCCCCATGTTAGAAAGGTAAAGCTGTCCCACTATACGCCATGTAGGCGCTTGGGGGGAGAGGAGGCATAGCTCCTACTCATTCTTGACCTCGGCACTAGATGGGGATGAGTGGTCAGCATCACGCCCCGGCCGCGCTTTACCCCCGGGAAAGGACCCCGGTAGTCTAAAGTAAATTTAATTCTGCAAAGTTCTGGAAGATTGTGGTAGTATTATGACCCATAAAACTTTCTAATATCAAAATGGATGACGTTTTATGATACCTGGAAAGTAATATTTACTGCTCTAAAGATATGAGAAATGCATTTGAAATTGTAGTCAGCCTCAAGGGAAGAGACAATTTGAGAGACCTAGGTGTAGATGTGAGAATGATATTAAAATGTATCTTAAAGAAAGAAAGTTTGAGAATGTGGGATGGATTCAGCCAGTTCAGGATGGGACCCCAATGATGCGCTTCTGCAAACATGGTAATGGCGGAGAATTTCTTGACTAGTTGAGAAACTATCAGTTTCTAAAGAAGGGATTCTGCTCTGTGTAGTTAGCTGATTTATATGATGTTGACTGAACAGCTGTGTTACATTTCAGGGTATTGATCACCAGTTGAGTGAGTGGCGACGATGCCTCGAAGCCTGTCTGAGCCTACTTCGGTCAGCTGTTGAAATTTTTAACGGCGTATTATCTGGTGAGGTGTTACATGAAATTGTGTGCTCTACAGAGGGAAAAGATTACCTGCACAGTAAGAAGACAAATTTCTTTATTAAATATTAATATTTCAAATTTGTACTTAATTACCATATTTCATCAATTTTAAGACACTTCTTTTTTAACATTTTTAAATTTCTGAAATCAGGGTGCTGGCGTCAAAGAATTGATATAGTGTCTTCTTCTTCTTTTTTTTTTCCTGAAAAACTGTTAATATATCAAGAAAGCACAACGTGTTTTGTGAACACCGCTTCTGTAACGAGAAATTCTTTTCTGTCATCATGAGTTTATTGCTCTTTTCAGTGGGCAGTACTCTTATTCTTATTTCTGTTGCTTATATATAATCATTATTTTCTGTACTGGTAAGCGTTCAGAACTCGTAGTATATTTTCACCTTTTTTGCATTAAAATAAATCTGTTTCAGATCTGCTAGAAGTGGCTGGTGTAAAAGACAAAGTGGAATACTCGTACAAAGAATTAAAAAATAGTGGGGAGTACAGGCAGTTAGACTCCCTTTTGGCAGATATTGACGGTGCTTGGTCCTCTTTGGAGCCATATTATGTCAAGGCAGACATAGCTGTAAGTAATATAACCACCAGAATTGATAAATGATAAGAGAGTTATCCCTATGCGTTAGCAGTGTCACAATAAAATGTACATACGTCATACTGCCTCAGTCATCAGGGCGATGTTCAAGGAGAATTATAAGGTCATAATGTTTATTAAAGTGACGACGGTGGTCCTGATAAGTCACTGTAATGTGCTGAATCTTTACAGGTAGATATGAAGCCGGATCTGCTCGTGGGTTCAGGAAATGAAAGCAGTTTAGTCTTTGAGCCACCCGCGTGCTGTGGTGTTTGTTTGACGGATGTCAGAAACAGTGCGAAGACAGACGGCAGTAGAAATACTAGTCAGTTGGAATATGGCGGCCAAGTCTATCATTCAGTCTGTGCGAATCTTTGGGTCAACTGCGTCGATTCAAGCCTTCCGGCATTAGCTACAGGAAGTAGCGGCTTTCTGTGAAAGAATACGGCGTTCATTGACGGAATTTTATAACGAACGATTCTGTGGTTTGCACATGATTTATGGCTTTTATTTAAATATTGAAATTATTTATGAATGAAATGTCATATACATATTATAACTGAAGGTGTAAGGTGTGGTACTGAACATGTATAATTTTATTATATGTTTTTGGATTATACAAGCAGCCATTTTGTGCTCATAGAAATAGAGGGAAAATAGGATGTTCTGATGTAACTTTTTGTTATACAGTTTGTATTTTTAAATCTTAGAACTTTACAGTGAAGAGTGTTTTCCTGCGTAAGTTTAAATCTTCTCTGTATATCCAAGAGATTACATTTATTTTATTATTTATTATGTGTAACGGTACCCACTTTATTAAGACTTTCTTTCGATACTGCTCCACAAAACAAAGATCTCTGTTTTGCTTCTTCTCGTTGACTTTTTTCATCTGTAACTCCCTGAAGCTGTGGGCCTGATATTTTTTTTTTGTAATTTTGATGTTTAAAGTGAACAGGGCGGACGGAATAGCAGAGAGAAATGTGACGCGTACATTTGCTAGTTGTTAATTTAAACTGCCTTCGATAGTTTTTCTGTAACCTCCATTTTCTTCACCAGTTTTAAAGCATGTACAGAACTTTCAACAGGTATTTACATCGTGATCGGCTACGGCCTTCGATAGAAACGGATGAATCAAGAAAATATCTTCTTTGCTGAAACTGTAAAAACTTTCTTCTTCTCTGTCCTCAAGTCTTCAAAATTTTCTTTTGTGTTTGAGAGGCTGAGCCAACCCAGCATCGTGAGGAAATTGGGGAGCTACAATGAGTAGCGTAATCCAGTCATGAAAACTAGCAATGGCTGGGGGTTCGTCGTGCAGACCACACGTCACCCTATATCTGGTCGGATGATCGTTCACCTCTGCTTAGGCGTGTGAACGTGAGGCCAGCGGCCAGCTAGTCGGCTTTGGCTCTCAGAGGGCTGTTACGCAAAGAAATTCTATTCACGATACTTTAGTGCTTCAAATGTCATATCATTTATAACCAAACTGAATTTTCTGAAATGTTCTGTGTTCACACACAACACAGAATTTTGCACTAAGGTAACGGTAAGAAGATTTTTCCAGTATTCACTCTTGAGGCCTTGTACTTCGCTGCTTGTTTTGTACCATTTTTTCGTAGTCTGCGTAGCGCAATATGAGGTTAGCCGTCGGTTTCTTTGTGGAATTTAAAATATCCTGACCACTGCTTCTCGAAGTTATCCAGACAGGAGAATTGGTTACTTTTCATTTTTCACAGGCAAAAAGTTCCACTGAATTATATCTCGCGAAACCGAAGGATTCAAACTGCAACTTGATAATAACGTTGTCAGATACACTTACATTTTATTTGAAAGATTGGCAAAAAATGGCATGAAAGTATTAACATGTATATATTATGAAATAAACTGTTCTCTAAAACGTGTTTATCTTCTTCTGACTACGTAACCATCTTCTCTGTAGTCGATTTCCCTTGCGTTTTTAATGAAGTGAGAGTCTGTTTCTGCCCTTGTCGGTTAATCATTTTTCTCTTTCCCCCTGAATACATATTTATTTATTTCCCTGTATATCTTTATTTCAAATTCTGTCTTATGTGATTCATCCCTTGACAGATCTTAAAGCTGTCATATTTTTCCGCTGCTCCGCAAGTTTTACTTCCGCGTGCAAATGTGGGAACTTCCGATCATTTCGTAACATTTAAATTTTCTCTTAAATGTTCTATTTCTTTTCCTACATACGCCTTGATACCGTCGTGTCTTATTTACTTCAAAGCTTCGTAAGATATGTCACACTCCAAGAATTTAAATAAGCTTAAATTAATTACTGTACAGTGGAATGATAGACGTACTTAATTGTATATTAATGTTAGCTACTGTACAATTCGCAGTAAATAATGTATTATAATTTATGTTAAAAGAATTGTGGAATATACATTTTTGAGCTTATTACACGTACATTCTAATGCAGATAATGTTTTTATTTTGTGTACCCCATAATATGCTTTAGTACAGAGACAACGAACCACGTGTCTTTCAATTCAAAAATTTGATGTAATTTAAAGTGAGATCTAAGGTTCGGAGGTTTTAACCTATTCACAATATCAAAAAGTAAATTTTTGGGACCCACCATACGTTCTTAGGCTGGTATTGTTGATTCTCCCTGATCTACCATCTACCGCAGGCAAGATGTATTTCCATTTGAATCAATGAATTAAAATCTGCTGTCAGATCAGGTTAACTGGCTTCTATTTTATTTCATTACTAGTATTGAAACGTGCGTATTACTCACCCCAAATGTACTATATTTTAGCATAATCACGCATTAAATTTCTTCTGTCATCCAGTCTCTTATAAACCTATTACAAATTTAAATATTTAAAAAATTTAAATTTTTTTAAAATATTTAAACTATAATTTGTTTTATGTGAATGTGAAATTCCCGTCTCTCGTACCAAGGGGAAAATATAAATTGCTGGAAACGTCCTAGGAGGAAGACGAGTGTTGATAAAATGCTGGAGTAAATAATTCCATTTGTTTTATTTAACTGCCTATACTTCCATTAACGATCTTGAAATCAGTGATCTATTCTCATTGTCTTCCACAGCGTCCGATCACAGGTATTAATGAAACATCGCTCAGCCGTTAACGCAGATACTTCAGACACACATAGCAATTGATTATGCAGAATAGTAAACGTACTTGTGATTCTTTCCCGTCCTAAAAAAAATTGTGGTGTCTAAAAAGTGCGTTTACAAGACAAATAATACGTAAACTACAATTTGTTTTCTACACAGCGCATCCGTGAAGTGAGTCCCACTTGACGGGAGGATCGCCGGTATCTTCCGCCAGAATTTTTTATCATCGCAAACCATTTCAACCCAATTATTCAAAACCCATCCAGAACAGGAGGCACCCTTTCGGTCACTCTGCTCACAGTCAAACGAGATGATAAGGCGTGTGCCTTGGTAAATTAGCTGCCCGCATGTCCACTTCACCGTTTTGCGGATGATCTAATTTAGCCAGACTCGATTCAGACTTTAGTCTCCAGTCATTTCTCATATTTTGTGGAACCAAGTTGTCGGCGTATCTAAAATAAGACTACTCAAGTGTCATGTACTGGAACCCACACTTGTTATTATCCATTATAAAGCTCTCTCTCTCTCTCTCTCTCTCTCTCATAAAGAAGGTGCAAGCCTATAAACCATCTACAAATATCAAGAACGACGAAATGGAGCAGGATAATTCTTTAACAGAAGCAGCTAACTCTGCCCAAGGGAAATTGTGAAACCATCATCAAACACGTACTTGAATCGGTCGGGAGACAAGTTATCTGTCACGAACAGCCCCCTCCCAGCGTCTCTTCTTGTTTAGGAGCAAACAAAGAGTCCTTCGGAATTATTCTGTGACAAGAAACTTTTAATTCCAGAATCCAACATGCAGGCATTCATGAGACTCATTTACCGAGTGTTCCTAAATCAAAGAACAGAAGTCACTATCAAAGTATAAACTAACTAATCTGTTAAGCACTTAAAGCCCCGTGTCCTCTACCTGATTCATCAGTCAATAACACTTCAGTTTCTATATTTATCCATTTGTTATGATTGTCACGGGATTATCTTCTTAAACAGCATTAAAAAAAAGTTAATTTTTGTAATGGTGAAGAGTTGTGTTTTCTTTGCGGTACGGACTGGATTTTTATGTATTATTTGGACAAGTTTCGGCTTCAGAGGGTCAACGTTGTAAATGGGTTTAACGTCCTGAGACACTTTTGATGTGAAATACATCTTGTTTCTATAGTATAAATAACTGTTAAGTAATTTTTATTCTGAGATCGCAGTACGGTAAATGTCTTAAGTGACTCAACTGTGTGATAGCGGAAGCTGAAACGAGTTACTTTTGCTAACTTTTTAAGTACACATAATTGGCATTTCACTTAAGTTACAAACGTTGTGATATTTAAGTTTCAGTTTCTATATTTATCGATTTGTTATGATTGTCACGGGATTATCTTCTTAAACAGCATTAAAAAAAAGTTAATTTTTGTAATGGTGAAGAGTTGTGTTTTCTTTGCGGTACGGACTGGATTTTTATGTATTATTTGGACAAGTTTCGGCTTCAGAGGGTCAACGTTGTAAATGGGTTTAACGTCCTGAGACACTTTTGATGTGAAATACATCTTGTTTCTATAGTATAAATAACTGTTAAGTAATTTTTATTCTGAGATCGCAGTACGGTAAATGTCTTAAGTGACTCAACTGTGTGATAGCGGAAGCTGAAACGAGTTACTTTTGCTAACTTTTTAAGTACACATAATTGGCATTTCACTTAAGTTACAAACGTTGTGATATTTAAGTGATCTCTTCCCTTCAGGATGTCCAACAAAATTGTTGTACGCACTTCCATAGCCGAAAATGTGTTTCGTTTCATTAAATTTTCATTACCCTAACTTTTTCTGTACGATTCATATAAGGAGGCAGCGGGTAGTCAACCATCAGATACCGAAAACCAGGTAAAGCGAGGAATCTTCTGCTTGCAGTAACATTCTGTATAATGGCTAACCGCACCCGAGAACATGTTCCTGGAGTCTTTAATCAGGTTAAGGACTGCGAGTGAGGGCTGCCACAGCCACAGGCCGGCTCGACGCCAGAGAAACTTTCGTGCGTTTCGTCGGGTCGGGAGGATTCTGCGATATTCGAGACGTCTGCGTAAGCACTGACTCTCCGGTTGAAAAGAGGTTCAGAGTATATTCAACGGAGAAACAGCTGAAAGCATAGTAGTTTCTCAATTCCACACACACGAACCCTCTGCGATCCCGAACGAGAGAGAGAGAGAGAAGAGAGAAAGTGGGGGGAGTAGCGATAGGCACTACTGTTATAAATGGGGGAGGGGTATAAAGTTGGTTGTGGGCTACGAAGGTTCCCAGGCAGCGCCCGCTCGTCCTTCTGGTATGAATAAGTTTAGTGAGGACAAGGGATTTAGGAGACAGGATGGGGTAAGAAATGGGGTAGGGGGGAGTTGATTCGGGTCTTTGCGTTAATTTTGAATTTTGATATTGGCCGTGGGGGTGGCGTTAGGAATAATTTACGTTAATTTTGGAGGGGGGCTACTATAGAGCGGAATTTTGATATTACTCTGAGAGGGCTGCATGGGAGGCATGCAGAGCAACGTGGGAATTGGGTACCAACTCAGAATTTGCTCTAGTACCGAGGAAAACCACGGAAAACCTTGGTCGAGTTGGCCGGTCGCAGGACCTTCCGGATGCGTGCTGCTGACTTCTAGCCAGCAGTCCGGTAGCTCGTCCAAATAACATTTAAAGATTCGGTCCGTACCGCGAAGAAAACACAGCACTTCACCATTACGAAGATCAACTGGTTAACGCTGTTTAAGGAAATGATCGCTGTTTACACTGAGAATCATAGTTCGTCTGATTAATATTTAAGAATTCAGTCCGTACCGCGAAGAAAACACTACACTTCACCATTACGAAGAACAGCTGGTTAACGCTGTTTAAGGAAATAATCGCCGTTTATGTCAGTATGAAACAAGTGAATAACAACTGAGCGGATTTTCACGAATCTGAATGTGCGGAGTTTACTGATATTTGTTGACTCTCAGTTCTAGTTAAAATCAAAGAATGAAGCGAAATATTTTTCGAATGAAATTTTCAGAGAAAAATGAAACATATTTTATATCTAATACACTTTTTACCTAAGTTTTTACGGTTTTTCTAGATAATTAAACAAAAGTGATGTGTTATGCTCTGTCTTCTCGTAACTCGACAACGGTTGGACTAGATTTTATGAAATTTTATGCTGGAACATTTACGAACTAAACGTCTAGCGGCAATATAAAAGCGAAGGCTGTTGATAGAAATTTAATTTTGCATGTATACAAATGCGGTTTATCTACGAAGTGGTATGATACCTGTGCCCTATAACACAAGTATACCCCATACTGTAGGAATAGTATCTTCTAACAGAGGTGTCGGCTTTAATTAACTTCAGCACCTTATGGAGACGATGAACTCAAAACTTTATGTTGATGGTTGAAATTACATTAACCTTAACTCATAACATGAGATCTCGTTTCAGAGATCGTAGTAACGTTTCTTTGTGGTCTTGGTGCGTCGTATTCATTAAGTTCGAATATACCAACGGATGAATAACGTCTAATTGTACGCGCTGTAAATGAAGTTTATGTTAATTTTGAAACAAAATACGGCAGTGAGTTGTGGATACTGAAGAAAAAGGCTTCAGGGGACAGAAAGTAAGAATGAGGGGATCTACAACCTGGATATTACAAGACAGCCTTGTTACTTGATTGCCAGGCTTCGTATCACGTCTGCATGCCTTGTAATTAGACATTATTATAATCACTGTAATGAAGTGTGAGGTATTACTGGGGGGGGAGGGCTGAGCAAACGACTGTAGCCCCTCTCAGCACAAGTTTTAATGAAACGTGAAGTACTTAGATGGTCTAGTGTCCGTATCGGATAATGCGCGTCTCTCCCTACTCAGAACGACGAGAAAGACGTAAACTGTAGACTCTACAGAAGATAGTCCGTCTTGTACATTTATTCTGGTCTTTTTACGCATTACTCAGTTTAGGTCAGTACGGTCTGAGACTGGATACACGGCACAGGAGACGTACGACAAATGTACGAGATGATCTGTGGCTGATGTCTTCCGACGAAAGCCTTCAACTGCCCAGATTACATTCACCTATAAATGTAACCGTTTAAAACCCAGCGGTAACTACATGTACCACCTGCATAAACAATCAGTATCTCTATATTTTTCTCACACAGTGTATATACAGGCTTCGTATGATTCTCAGAATAAATAATGATTATTCATTTAACAGCGTTAACCAATTGATCGTTGTCATGGAAACGTGCTGTGTTTTATTTCAGGTACGGAATGAACTCTGAAGTATTATTTAGACGAGCTTCGACTTCAGGGGGGAAATGACCTTGAAGCTGGTTATAATTTTGGTTGCTGGCCCCGTGTGGAAGTGTGCTATGTTGTCAGAGGAATACACTGCCTCCATTTTCAGGGCTGAAGTAAGGAATTCGAAACTCGCCGATTAGTTTCGTTGTCAACCCGAATATAACAGCGCCAAAACTACCTATGTAGGACATTTTGTTTGTTTCAAATGGCACTCCACTTGAAGTAAGCTACTAGTGTATTTCACTACTTATTAATCTAAGTATAAAATGTCTTCGTTAAAAGATAAGTTACATCTGATAAATTATCTGAATAAAGTTTACTGATACTATAACATCCATTAAGGGTACATAATCGAAAACATTGTGCAACCCTAAATTCACTTGAAGATGAGTCTTTTGGGTTGTAGCGCTGTGTAGTCTGGTAGACGATTTCCGACGTTTAAAAGATGCTTGCTACTTACATAATCAGGGCGATAAGTGAAGATAGAGGAGGCAAGTACCTCTAAAACGTCGGAAAGTTTTTTACCAGATTACAATTCGGAACAACCCAGAAGACAGTCATCTTCAGACTCACCGCCGTGATAAACATCAAAATCTCATTGGGTTTCGAATAATTGATTTTAATCCACTACACAATCAATTAATCAGGTCAAATTGTGCGTACCCTTGTTATAACCACTTCAAATCTACGTGAATTTAAGCCTAATAAAAGCCACACCGCGTTTCGACTATGCGATACGAGTCTCCGCCTGCAGTTGTGTGTTTAGAGTACCCGCACTAGAGCGGTGTCAGAGAAGTTGCCGATAAGGAAGGCGGTTCTTGCTTTCCCGAACTTACGACAATTTCACATAGATTTCTTCGTGACAGAAAAGTGCTTATGAGCCTCTGGATTAACCGCATTGCATCACGCATGTACGCTGCTTACTTCGTATTCTTATTGCCTGCTTTCTGTACTTTCATTCTTTGTGTTTTTCTTTCTGTAGTCTATCTTTCCTTTCTACGTTTCTTCTTTCCTTCCGTTGCATAATATTCTTTTGTTGCTGCTTTAACAGTCAGTAACTCTGCACTTTGTATTTATGTGTTTCGTATGATTCTCATTTTAAATAGCGATTATTTCCTTAAACAGCGTTAACCAGTTGATCTTTGTAATGGTGAAGTGTTGTGTTTTCTTCGCGGTCCGGACTTAAATCAATATTCTTTATATTAGCTTCGGCTTTAAAGGGTTAACCACTTGATATTTGTAATGGTGAAGAGTTGTGTTTTCTTCGCGGTACGGACTGGATTCGTAAATATTATTTAGACGAGCTTCGACTTTAAAGAGTGAACCAGTTGATCTTTGTAATGGTGAAGTGTTGTGTTTTCTTTGCGGTACGGACCGAGTTATTAGTATTTAGACGAGTTTTGACTTTAAAGAGTTAAAATTAAGGTGCTGTATAACAAGAAATTATTATCATCAATTATCTTAGCTCAATAAAGAATATAATAGGATTTTATGTAGTGCAGACTAAAACACGATCTTATACCGACGTTATAATAACTGTGTTATGTTGTATAGAGACGCATGCGCATAGTAGGCCATGGACGATCACCAACCAACACTTGTATATATAGAAGTAGATTCAACTATGTTTCTTGGAAGCGGTTTCAAGGCACTGCGATGCCTAGACATATACAGAAAACACATCCATGTCGTGAAGAAGATTCGAACCGACAATCTCAGTGTCTGAATGATGGAAGACAGTTAGTGCCACAGCGATCGTCATAACAACAGTACACTTCCTGCCATGCTGTTGGTTTGTTGAATGGGATGACGTAGTTCTGCGGGGAACAATGTCCACAAGTCACGCGTCAGTACTCTGATTAAACCGAGCAAATTAGTTTGTGCTGTGTAACAAGTCGCACTACTTTGCTTTAAAGCTGATGTCAGTGGCTCACTTGTGACTGGACATGATTTATTGCGTGTTCGTTGCCGAATGATCGTATCATCATCGCTGCATCATTGCCAGAGATCTCACACGCTCCGCCGGACATAGTCCTGCAGAACCTGACAGTTAATGAACTAGACAAGAAATTTCAAGTCTGTTATTGAACCTGGATTTTCACACCAACTGCCACTCGCGAGACAGACGAATTCAGTCCGCGCTTTCTCAAAATATTTCACTGAAATTCGCGTTAGCTCTTAATTTGTTCCCTTCCTTTATGCATTTATCATGAGGAGGTTTGGCTCTTTACGCATTCTTAACCTCGGTACCACAAAATACACCAAAAATATAGACAAACCAATGAAACAAAAATAATCAAAATTAAAAGAATACTGAAATGAATCTTAAATAAACAGACTATGATGATTCTGAATTAATTAAACTGGTTTACGATAACTTCCAGTGGCAGGCTTTTGTAAACACGGTAATGAACCTTCGGGCTTCACACAAGTAAAAGCAATTTCTGACCACCTAAGCGACTAGAACCTTCCTGAGCAGAATCCATGGAGCTCCTTAGTGAGGCCACGTTATAATTCTCTGCTTTTGCCTACTCAGTAACCAGCATACAATCTAGACAGACCATTTTCTGTTATGGTTACCTTAATGAACTTTCTCTGTTCAACTAGAAGATATTTTATGTGATTGGAATATTTCCAGCTTTTAGTTCCAACACGCAAACAAATAATGGGCACCAGAGCTATATTTAACACTGGAGAGAAAAACATCATTTATCATCAGCGCATAATACTAACTCGACGAAAACAAGTCAAATATTCATTGTGATGAATAAGACAGTAGAATTACAGAACCAACAAACTTTATTTTAAAACCCTTCACTTCAGCGACGTTCTGTATTAACGTATTCAGGTTCTGACAGCCGAAATCTTGAACCATGAAGACGTATGGCGGAGCAAAGGTTAGTCTCAACGCATTATAAACCTCGAAACAGATGAAGACTCGTTGACTTCTGTGTTGTGGGTTTTAGCTCCGTGTAGTCTGGTAGAGAGCAAAGGTTAGTCTCACGCATTCTAAACCTCGAAACAGATGAAGACGGGCAGACTTACTCGTTGACTTTACAGGTTCTCACGGAGGCGAGTACAAAGATATCTGTGTTGTGGGTTGTAGCTCCGTGTAGTTTGGGAGATACTGAGCCGACGTTTCGGAGGAGCATACTGATTCTATCAGTAGGGTGCCCTAACGATGGAGACAGTAGGTTCATCTGAAACGTCAGTCAATATCTACCAGATTACACAGCGTAACATCCAAGAATACTGGCAAATATTCATATTCATCGCCGTGAGAACCTGAGATCTTACCAGATGAATTAAAGAACGTCGTAGTCGTATCACCCACTATAATGACACGTAAACACGTAAAATAACGTATGTAACCATCATCGTTACCCATAACAGAAATCAGTGCTGTTTTACACACGTCACAGTGGTATGATGTTAACATAAATTAAGAATAAATGGTAAAAATGTACGATACAAATGTTTTTAACCGCCACGGTGGTCTATCGGTTAGAACGCTGGCCTTGTAATCCTGGGGTCTCGGGTTCGATTCCCGGCGGTGCCCGAATTTATAACTTGTGTTGGGCAAGGCCGTGGTCTAGGCAACACGGAGTTTTCCTCCGTGGCATCCCAACAATTACTCCAGTCACACACAGAAGAAGGCAATGGCAAACCACTGCTGGATCATCTGCCAAGAACGTATATGAACAGATCCCAGTCCGAGAAAAGGATGGAAGGATCATGTTCATATGGACCTGTCGTCAGACAGAACACAAAATAAAAAAAAAAAAAGACGGAGGCGTCGCGGCGGGACACGCTTCTTTGGCTCGCGGTAGTAGTTCAGTTTCCAAACTAACTTTTCTTCTTGCGCCTAGCGTCCCTCCCCCCTCCGCACCTCTTCAGAGCGGTGTTGAGCGGTTTTCGCGAGTCACCTAGGAGAGTGGCAGCTGCTGAGTGCGCATTGTACGTCGGGACAGGTGGCTGACTGTAACAGTAGCGCTGTTAGAGACGACTTATCGCCACTGCTCAGCACTCCACTGGGGCCGGACATGACGGAGCGCCTCATGGAGCCTCCCGGGTCAACAGCCCCGATCATCAAAAGGCGCTAACTATAGAAATTACGGTGAGTGACCATTCTTACTTGGTTGTCTTCCGCGCACGAGAAATTATATTACTTTTAATTACACCAACTTCACCAGAGTAAAACCCGATTACAAATATATCAACACTATAAAGCTCTTGGTACCGCGTATATTATTATTATTATTATTCCATCTATTAACCATTTTACAGGGTATTTACTTCTATGTACCCGAGACAAACCTTGCCCCTGAGGTACGCAGTCCAGCAGCTATTTCCGAAATACATTTCGTTTTTAATACGTGTTACATGTATTATATAGTTTTATTGTGAGGGGATGACTACATATTTTACGACAGCGTCTTTCGAATGATGTATGATGATCCTAAAATGACAGTTTTTAAAGTTCCCTGATGTCGTTTTCGCCTCGGATGTTGGCCAAATGTTTTCTAAGTGACTTGGAGATAGTTCCAGTTGCTCCTGTAATTATTGGAAATATTTTTGCTTTATCTTTCCACATTCATTGTATTTCAATGAGAAGAATATGTAGTCATCTCCTCACAATAAAACTATATAATACATGTAACACGTATTAAGAACGAAATGTATTTCGGAAATAGCTGCTGGACTACGTACCTCAGGGGCAAGGTTTGTCTCGGGTACATAGAAGTAAATACCCTGTAAAATGGTTAATAGATGGAATAACAATAATAATAATAATAGATGTACCAGGAAACGATAACACGTTTGATATGAGAAGCCATAATAATGCATTCTGTTTATCAAACAACTAACATGCCAATTTTAAAAGCAATACCATTTATAAATTTGTGATCATAACAAAGAAATTTAGGTGAGAATTAAAATGTAAGATTTACTGTCAATTTTATTCGAGTGTTAATGACTCCTTGTAGTCGATACGTGATACGTAGTCAATCGGGCAAAAGCATCGATACATCCACGTACTAGCACGTATCTAAGTTCAGTTCCACGTAATCGTCATAAAATCAAGATTTCTGTTGCCATCCGGTATTAATCAGGACATTTTTACGACGTCGTAATTTCTGGAAAGGTCGACTACAGATTTCATATCTGATTCAACAAATATAAGCATTCGAAAAACAGCGAAAGAATAAACTAATGTAAACTTATCAATATACCAGAATTAACCCGAGTGGTTCATTAGCGGTGTAAAATATCTGTAAACCCATCTGAAATCTCGCTAAAATTGTTTTATTCAGATGAATAGTTATTTAAATTTATTTCTTCTATCGAACGAGAACAAAATTATTCGGTTCATATGATTTAGAAACGATCCACTTAACTGTAATTAATTAAAATAATATAAAAACTGGGTAACCATAGCAACAAGTAGTTTTCAGCCAATGATTCAATATTTTCGAAAAATGCTAACAAGTCATTGACACAGCACCGCCTAAAAAACTACATTTTACAACTAACACTGTGGTATTAGAATTCAAAAGTTCAACGCCACAATACCACAGTTCGATATTGAACACGATTCTAAACTAGATTCATTCCCCTTCTATCCTAAGGATCTATTTCCCTAACATCTATCTCAATGTTATCCTTTCATCGCCTCATTGTCTTCAAATCACACGATTTTCACGGAATTCCCCATCAAAATTCCGTTTGCATTCCTTATCTCTCCCATTCTAGCCTCTTCAATATGTGCTAATTTTTATAGAGTTATATATGTTTTGATGATGGCCGTCTTTTGGGTTATAGTGCCAAGTAGTCTGGTAGAATTTTACCGACGTTTCAGAGGTACTTGTTATCTCCAGTCATCAGGAAATCTACCAGACTACACGGCGCTATAACCCGGAAGACAACCGTCTTTCACATTATGCAATTAAAATATATTATTTATAATTATTCAACTGTCGCAGAACCTCGTTCAGCGTAGGCATTTGTGAAATTTCGGGTCCCATAAAATTCGAGAAAGCTCGTGGTTAGCTGAGCCCCAAGTTACCTACAGGAACAACGCAACAAGTTTGGAACAAACTTCTGGAAGTTACCAAATCTGATATTGCTTAAGTTACTAAGGTTTCCCTTCTTTAAATTTGTATTTTAGTCTGTGGGCAAAGCCGTAACGTAATACTGGTCTAGTCTAAGAAATGCTTCAGTAACACAATGCACGTGTTGCAAAACAAGCGTGTAGTAACTTAATCTGGGTCGATAAGATGTGCTTAATTCATACAAAGCTCAACGAGAGTTGGCAGCTGTAGTCAGATGTTACAGACTTTCGCCTCCTGTCTAAAACGATAAGATTGGCATTTAAAAAAAATCGAATTAGATTCTTTAATTGTGGCTAACACCAATGCTATCTGACAAATAATAACTAACAGCTTTCGTGATACAGATTCCATCTTTAGAGTTCACAAGTTAAATTTTACAGAATTATCACACATACATAACTATAATTGTGTTTAGAACATAGAGAACTCAAAACAAAGGTCCTCTAGGTTATTAAAATTATAAAATTAATAAATTCTGAACGGTTTTAGAGCAAAAAGTGCACAAAGTCGTTTTAATGTCGAGGTTACATTTTTGGTCACGAAATGAGCCCATGAAAACAAATTAAAAAAAGGGTTTTTACCAAAATTATATACGTCAAAAATTTAAATCATTGCTAACTACTTCTCAAGAACATTCTGTATAAACTACTAAAGTTACTTAGAGTAGAATTAAATCCGTTAAGATGAGTAAGGATTTGGAACTATTTTATAATATCCCAGAATTCACCTCACAGGAACTCATTGTGAGGTCATATCATTTTCTGACGGAACTGGTCCTGGGAACCTCTTGCATGCGACTAAGACCCGTTAATATAAGACCACGACAAAAAGTCAAATTTCAAAAACTCAAGGGAAAAAGTTATGAAATTTATGATCACACGGTAGTAAAGATTTCAGTGTCGCGTCTTCTGGGTTGCAACGCCGTGCAGAGGTAAAGTTAGACACCGATATGCCTCTCAAAGTCGAGGTGTTAAAAATCCTTGGCGTTTACAAGTGCACTCACTCAAGGTTAATGACTTTGATGACTTCGCGTTAGGTATGAAGTGAAGTTTTTGAAACCGGTCAATGTAAATATCCACGAATCTCTTACGTAAAATATCAGTGTTCAAACTCCGACCCTTTTTAAGGTAAAAAGCTATTCATTTGTAAGAAATTTATGAGGTGTGTTATGGTGAATGATAAGATTTTGAGATTTAATTATTGGTTCTTCGGTTACTTGAACCATTTGCTTCGTCTACATCAGAAGAATGCAAGAACATTAAATGTTATTAAGCCTATATCAGTTTTGGCACTGAAGAGTACAGTAGGAACAAAAATAGAATCAACAAAGAAGCAGACACACGTACATATAGAGAAAGAAAAGAAAAGAAAAGGAAAATTAACAAAGGAATGAGACAAAGAGGAAAGAACTGAAATAAACAAATATAAAAAATAGGTATTAATTAAACTAAACGCAAACAACATACGAATAAAAATTTACTTGGATATTATCCATCGTCTAGTAATAAAACGTAAAAAACGTAAAACGACGTTTCGGAGATGGGGCTCTATCTCCGTCTTCAGGTTCCTACTCAGTTGGGCCCACTAGATAGAGCTAATCCCTATCTCCGGACAAATTAAAAAGTGAAAGTCCCAGAATAAAAAGGCATTTATGCCCCATCTCCGAAACGTCGTTTTACGTTTTTTACGTTTTATTACTAGACGATAGATAATATCCAAGAAAATTTGTATTCAATTGACTCTTCACCATCGTCAAGAAGTTTTAGATTTGGCAAACAACATAGCAGTATTTTTTCACGAAACCTGAAAAACACACTCCAAAAAAAGCCACACAATCAGAACGTTTGTTACCGGCGTACGAGCGAAATAAATTCAAGGATTAATAACAAATTCGAGACAGCAGTGTGGCATTGACTAATTAATAGCTATGAATTTCACGCAGCTAAAACTCGTTGTCAAGGAGAGTTGTAGATGGAACAAGCAGATACATAACTATTATTGTTGTAATCCCCACATAAATATTTAATGGAACAATCTGTAGTTCCGTATTCAGCCTCTCGATAAATCATTCTATTGCCTCACTGGCTCTGTAGGTCACCGAATAAATTAAGTCTTTCGATCACCATTTTCAAGGGCACTTTTATATTCAACACACCTAGTAAATCATAACCTTCGTTTGTACAGTTTAAATGTTACTACGCAGTAAGGAAACCGAGCATAAGGTAACATTTAACTGATAATATCTGCGTGTACATAAATGCAAAGTTATCCCTTTTGTTAATTTAGCATCATGCAGCGTATGGGAGAACGGAGGTATAACTCCACACTTACGTAATTCTGCACCAGATACACGAGAGTATCTAGCTTCATAATTAGGTCGCTTTACACTTGGGGAAATAATTCTTGTACCACTGAAAAAAGGCATTTCTCACTTTTTTATATATATGTACATATTCACCTCATTTCATTCGAATTTTTGGTGAAGAGACAAATTATAACATTTCTCAGTACGCATTCTTCTCGAACCTCTAATTAATGTAAATTCTTCTCTCTTAGATCCAATAATCCCCCCAGGCATCCTGTTATCAAACACTTCAAAACCGTGTTCTTTGCAAAAATAAACAAACAAAAAAATGAATACATGAAATTAAAATAAAAAATAAAAATGAATAAATAAATAAATAAAAATGAATAAATAAAAATGAATAGTCCATGCCCCACACTCATCTAAAACACACAGTAAAATTATAGCTTCGTATATTTAAATTGATATGATTAAGAAACAATTATGAGACATACAAATTGTTCATGAATATTGTTAATGTTTGTCAGAGACCAATAGAGGCTTAGCTATAAGTCAGTCTCTTCCAAGTTCAAACATGAGGCCACTCACACAATATAAGGCTGCAGTTACCACACACGAAGAAAATTACGTCACGAGAAGTTCTGTGTGGTGTCAAGAATGCGATGGTGTCGTGTAATAATCAACTTAGCTGAAATATTC